AGTGACTTGGTGCGTGGTGGGGGCGGGGGGTGGGTGCTGGCTGGGCTGCAGCATAAGGGGGCGTGGCTGCCGTGCTCATTTGCGACTGAAGCTAGCGTGTGTGGGCGTGGTCAGTTGGGGGCGGGGCCCGAACGTGTGTGGGTGTCACTGCTCCCGCAAAGCTGTGGGACCCGAGAGTGTGGGTGTGACCAGTGTGACCGGGCTGAGGCCTGAGCCTGTGTAGCTGTGGCGAGACCAGGCGACCGTGAGGGTCCGTATGTGGCTTAGCTGGGTTAGTGTCTTCAACTCCGTGCGGCCGCCCCCTTCCCCACTGTATTTTGGAACTCTAATGTGTGTTGCCTATGCCCCGACAGGATGGTGACAGGTGTAGAGGATGGCGCCTGCCCTCCTTCAGACACCAGGGTATTTGGGTTTTCTATCCCAGCCTGGTCCCCTGCTGAGTGATCTCGAGTTGAGTGACCTCGCTTTGTCTCTAGGTCTCCGTTTCCTTAGTTGGGCCTTGCCTACCTCATAGGATCATACTGCATTTTGCAAACCATAAAGGCCTGCCTTGTAGTTATTTGAGCGTGCTGTTGTGTTGGACATAGATGGGTCCCACACGTGGGTCGGAAAAGGACAGGCGTGAGTCCCGCAAGCTTGTGTGCATGGGTCCGTTTCGTGTGTGTCTGTGCTGGTTGAGTGTGCCTTCGCGCGGGCTGGGGTGTGAGGTTTGCTCTGAGTGTGAGGGGCCAGGTGTGTGTCTGCAGTTGGCCGGGTCTTCCGCTTTCTCGGTGACAGTTCGCTCCCTTCAGCATTAGCCGCCCCAGCCTCCCTCCGCCCCCACAGACCCCGCCTGCTGGACCCAGGTGACTTACGCTCCTGGTGGGGGCGGGGCGGGGCGGGGCAGGGCGGCTTTGCCATCTTGGGGTGGGGGGGCTCTTGCCTGGGGGCTGGATATTGGGGCCGGGGCGGGACTGAGTTGGGGTCGGGGGTGGGGTCTGGATGTAGGTTGGCTGAGCTGGGCGGGGCATGGCTTAGGCATGGCTGGGATAGATGGGGCTGGGCTGGGCGAGGGGAGGGGGTTGGGCGGGGCAAGGCCGGGGCTGGGCGGATCTGAGTTGGTCCTCGAAGGCCGGAGCTCCGACCCTTAGACGCCCCCTCTTGAACGCGCTTTTCCCACTCCTCCCTTTCTGAAACGAAGATGCAGCTGGGGGCCTTCCCCTCCAAACAGGGATCCAGGGCCCAGGGGCGAGCACTGAGTCGGATCGCCGGCTCTGGGGCCAGGCCAGGCCTTGAACTGCTGATAGACCTCGAAGATAGCCAGCATCTTTTCTCCTTGCCTCAGTGTTCTCGGCTCGGGGCCTAGGGAACTGGCAGCCTGGTCTCTAGCATCGGATGGGACCGGGGGCGGGGAGGGGGTGAATGGGTCAGTGATTTGAAGATGGGTCGCGGAGGCCGGGCCTGAGGCGCAGCTGTCCTCACCGCTCCGCAGACAGCGTGGAGGATGAATTTGAATTGTCCACCGTGTGTCACCGGCCTGAGGGTCTGGAGCAGCTGCAGGAGCAAACCAAATTCACGCGCAAGGAGTTGCAGGTCCTGTACCGGGGCTTCAAGAACGTGAGTGCAAGGCGAGGCCAAACTCAGGGTGGGAACAGGAGGACCCAAGCCGGTCCACAGCTTCCCAGAAAGCATGGCTTGGATGCTTGAGGTGCTGGGTGGAAGGGAGGCAAGGCCCTGAGACTGAACTTCTAGCTGGCGGTTCTGGGGCGGGGCCGGAACGGAAGCGGCGCCTGTAGACTGTCAGTTTCGTTCCATGTTTTTTATTTGTGCACTGGGAAAGAAGTCTTGCCTCCCATCACATGAGCCACGTGGTGAGTCCTCTGGAGGCTTGAAGATTATCCCCCTCCCTGGGAGTCTTGGGCCATGGAGGGTGGGGGTGGTGAATGGAAGGGGATTTTGTCTCTGCCCTCAGCCTGGTGCCCTCTCTCCTTCCAGGAATGTCCGAGCGGAATTGTCAATGAGGAGAACTTCAAGCAAATTTACTCCCAGTTCTTTCCTCAAGGAGGTGAGGGGACAAGGCGCAAAGGGCAGCAGCTGTCCTTCTCTAGGCTGAGGGAGGGAGGGATTCTGGAGGGGCTGGGAATGCCAAGGTGATGGGGGGTATGGGGAGCTCCATAGAAGGAGGAAGTCCTCTCCTGTGTGGAAGCCAACTTCTCCACACTCACCCTGCAGACTCCAGCACCTATGCCACTTTTCTCTTCAATGCCTTTGACACCAACCATGATGGCTCGGTCAGTTTTGAGGTGAGCTGGGCGAGGTGGGCCAGGGAAGCCTGTTTCCTGGACTTCAGGGCCAGGATTTCCAGGCCAAACCCAGGGAAGGGGTTGGGTGAAGAGTACCTGAAGACACAGCTCCCTCCTGCCTCCTTCCCAGGACTTTGTGGCTGGTTTGTCCGTGATTCTTCGGGGAACTGTAGATGACAGGCTTAATTGGGCCTTCAACTTGTATGACCTCAACAAGGACGGCTGCATCACCAAGGAGGTGCAGGGCAACTGAAGGGCTGGGGGGCTGTGGCACTGATGGGGGTGGTGTGCAGAGGGTGATGGGAGGGAAATATGACCCATATATGCCCACAAGCAAGGGATCAAGGGAGGCTGGAGGCTCTGAGGAAGCATCCTCTTCTCTCTTGGCCTAACAGGAAATGCTTGACATCATGAAGTCCATCTATGACATGATGGGCAAGTACACATACCCTGCACTCCGGGAGGAGGCCCCAAGGGAACATGTGGAGAACTTCTTCCAGGTAGTTGGGACTGGGTAGGCTGGAGGGCCCTGGAGTGAAGAGAAGGAGACCAAGAACCAGCAGGGAACTCACCTGACTTCTGTCTGCCTCTCTTGCCATCCCTCCTGTTCTCCCTGCCTGACCACCTTCTTGCAGAAGATGGACAGAAACAAGGATGGCGTGGTGACCATTGAGGAATTCATTGAGTCTTGTCAAAAGGTACAGCTCCCTGCTCTCGACATTACCCTGACCTGGACTCAGGCCTGATTTAGTAATGTAGGGAAAAACTTCTTTGGGCAGAATACCACCTCCCCATCTCACCCCCACATTTCAATCCTATTCCTTTGTGGGAGGCTTACCCCTTCCCTACCTCAGGTCTCTCTGGGCATCTCCTTCCTCTGTGCCTTTGAATGTCCCCATCTGTGACTCAGTGTCCCTCTCCCTGTCTCTGATAAGCTCCTTCTCTTTCTGTCTCTTCAATCTGCCTCGCTCACACCATGGCCACAGGATGAGAACATCATGAGGTCCATGCAACTCTTTGACAATGTCATCTAGCCCCCAGGAGAGGGGGTCAGTGTTTCCTGGGGGGACCATGCTCTAACCCTAGTCCAGGTGGACCTCACCCTTCTCTTCCCAGGTCTATCCTTGTCCTAGGCCTCCCTGGGGGCTGGAGGGATCCAAGAGCTTGGGGATTCAGTAGTCCAGATCTCTGGAGCTGAAGGGGCCAGAGAGTGGGCAGAGTGCATCTTGGGGGGTGTTCCCAACTCCCACCAGCTCTCACCCGCTTCCTGCCTGACACCCAGTGTTGAGAGTGCCCCTCCTGTAGGAACTGAGTGGTTCCCCACCTCCTACCCCCACTCTAGAAACACACTAGACAGATGTCTCCTGCTATGGTGCTTCCCCCATCCCTGACTTCATAAACATTTCCCCTAAAACTCCCTTCTCAGAGAGAATGCTCCATTCTTGGCACTGGCTGGCTTCTCAGACCAGCCTTTGAGAGCCCTGTGGGCGGGGGACAAGAATGTATAGGGGAGAAATCTTGGGCCTGAGTCAATGGATAGGTCCTAGGAGGTGGCTGAGGTTGAGAATAGAAAGGCCTGGACACAATGTGATTGCTCAGGCATACCAGGTTATAGCTCCAAGTTCCACAGGTCTGCTACCACAGGCCATCAAAATATAAGTTTCCAGGCTTTGCAGAAGACCTTGTCTCCTTGGAAATGCCCCAGAAATTTTCCATACCCTCCTTGATATCCATGGAGAGCCTGGGGCTAGATATCTGGCATATCCCTGGCATTGCTTCCTCTCCTTCCTTCCTGCATGTGTTGGTGGTGGTTGTGGCAGGGGAATGTGGATAGGAGATGTCCTGGCTGATGCCTGCCAAAGTTTCATCCCACCCTCCCTGCTCATCGTCCCTGTTTTGAGGGCTGTGACTTGAGTTTTTGTTTCCCATGTTCTCTATAGACTTGGGACCTTCCTGAACTTGGGGCCTATCACTCCCCACAGTGGATGCCTTAGAAGGGAGAGGGAAGGAGGGAGGCAGGCATAGCATCTGAACCCAGTGTGGGGGCATTCACTAGGATCTTCAATCAACCCGGGCTCTCCCCAACCCCCCAGATAACCTCCTCAGTTCCCTAGAGTCTCCTCTTGCTCTACTCAATCTACCCAGAGATGCCCCTTAGCACACTCAGAGGGCAGGGACCATAGGACCCAGGTTCCAACCCCATTGTCAGCACCCCAGCCATGCTGCCATCCTTTAGCACACCTGCTCGTCCCATTCAGCTTACCCTCCCAGTCGGCCAGAATCTGAGGGGAGGGCCCCCAGAGAGCCCCCTTCCCCATCAGAAGACTGTTGACTGCTTTGCATTTTGGGCTCTTCTATATATTTTGTAAAATAAGAACTATACCAGATCTAATAAAACACAATGGCTATGCACAGGCTGCCGTCTCTGCCTTTTGTCCCTCCCACCTACAAATACTACACAACCCCTAACTCATGCACCTGCAGCCTTTTAGATCCCCAAGAAAGTGGCTTTCTTTTCCATAGTTGGCCATACCTTGGCATGAGACTGAGACATAGGCTCTGGAATGGTTGGAAACCCACCGAACCTCAGGCCCCCACATGAATCTCCCTCCCATACAGCCTGAGAGGAGACAAGGAAGGAAGGACAGGACACTGATGTCCCAAAGACTGTGCCAAGCAAGCTGTTTTTTAGCTGACAGTCTTACAAGTTGAATCACAGATTTCTAATTTACAGACTTTTTAGTTAATCTCAAAGTGCTTTCTTTTGAGGGGGCTCCCTTTACTTTTTTTCTTTTTTTTTTTTTTTTGAGACGGAGTCTCGCTCTGCCACCCAGGCTGGAGTGCAATGGCCGGATCTCAGCTCACTGCAAGCTCCGCCTCCCGGGTTCACGCCATTCTCCTGCCTCAGCCTCCCAAGTAGCTGGGACTACAGGCACCCGCCACCATGCCCGGCTAGTTTTTTGTATTTTTTAGTAGAGACGGGGTTTCACCGTGTTAGCCAGGATGGTCTCAATCTCCTGACCTCGTGATCCACCCGTCTCGGCCTCCCAAAGTGCTGGGATTACAGGCTTGAGCCACCGCGCCCGGCCCCTTTACTTTTTTTCTTCTTCTTCTTCTTTTTTTTTTTTTTTGAGACGGAATCTCTCTCTTTCGCCCAGGCTAGAGTGCAGTGGCCAGATCTCGGCTTTACTGCAGCCTCCGCTTCCTGGGTTCAAGCAATTCTCCTGCGTCAGCTTCCCGAACAGCTGGGATTACAGGCGTGCGCTGCTATGCCCGGCTTATTTTTGTATTTTTAGTAGAGACAGAGTTTTCGCCATGGTGGCCAGGCTGGTGTCGAACTCCTGACCTCATGTGATCTGCCTGCCTGTGCATCCCAAAGTGCTGGTTCCAGGCGTGAGCCACCGTGCACAGCCCCTCCCTCTAGTTTCTAATGAAAGTTCCTTTGTGTCAACATTCCAACCTTGCCTCCAGTATAGATAAATATTTTTTTGTGTCCATACCCCAGCCAGGAATGATGGGGGAATGAGATGGAGTGGACCCAGCGCAGGTCACCATGAGGCAGATGGCACAAAGGATGACACGGACTTTGTGTGTTCCCACTCTTTCTTTATTCTGTGTTCTGCTCCTGCAGAGGGACCCACCAATGGTAGGTTCCTCTCCTCCTTTCTCTGGGTCACCATTATGTGGTGACTAAATTTCACCATCCATAGGGGAGTATCAGGCCTTCTCCTCCCTCATGACAAAGTCAAGGGGAGGGATATGTTGTCCAAGAAGCAAAAACTCACTTTTAGCGTCCATTGTTTTATCATCTGTGTTCCCTGCTTATATCATCAAAGAGCCATCTGCTCCTTGGGTCCTTGGGTTTCTTTGAGTCGTCAGCATAAAGATCTGATAAAAGCTGTGGGCCCATTATCGAGAAGAAAAAAAAAATGCAAGAATTCCCATGCATTTTTGTATCCCTTTAGCTCATCTAAGGGTCCTAAGTTAAGAACCTGTGATCTAGAGTGAGTGCAGCGGCTCATGCCTGTAATCCCAGCACTTTGGAAGGCTGAGGTGGGTGGATCACTTGAGGTCAGGAGTTCAAGACCAGTCTGGCCAACATAGTGAAACCCAGTCTCTACTAAAAATACAAAATTAGCTGGGCATGGTGGCACATGCTTGTAATCCCAGCTGCTTGGGAGGCTGAGGCCAGAGAATCACCTGAAGTGGAAAGCGGAGGTTGCAGTGAGCCGAGATGGCACCACTGCACTCCAGCCTGGGCAATAAAGTGAGACTCTGTCTCAAAAAAAAAAAAAAAAAAAGAACATGTGATCTAGTCTAACTCTCCATTTTGTAGAAGAAGCAGGCTCAGAGAAGGGAGACTTGCTCAAGGTCACTCAGTGAGTTTGTAGCAGGACTGAGACTAGACTCAATCCCTCAAGTCTGTCAGCAGTGGCCTTTGGGCACAGTAAAGAGTCATATGTGGGCTGGGTGTGGTGGCTCACGCCTGCAATCCCAGCACTTTGGGAGGCTGAGGCGGGCGGATCGCAAGGTCAGGAGATCCAGACCATCCTGGCTAACATGGTGAAACCCTGTCTCTACTAAAAATACAAAAAATTAGCCAGGTGTGGTGGTGGGCGCCTATAGTCCCAGCTACTTGGGAGGCTGAGGCAAGAGAATGGTGTGAACCCGGGAGGCAGAGCCGGCAGTGAGCTGAGATTGATTGCGCCACTGCGCTCCAGCCTGGGCGACAGAGCGAGACTCCGTCTCAAAAAAAAAAAAAAAAAGAGTTGTATGTGAAGGGTTGGATGCTGTGCATGTTATGCATAATCCAAGCAAAGGATTGTGCAGGCTGTGACAGGCTCTCATGATGCCTTCTGCTTTTCCTTTATGGCACTTCTCAGTTTGTAACCATATACTTACTTGGGTAATTATTTACTTGTCTTCTCCTATACACTGTAAGTTCCTGAGGGCTCCCTGAGTGCCTGGACTAGGGTTTTTTTCTTCACCATCTTATTCTTGAGGCCTGGCACATAATAGGCCTTCAGTAAATAATACTGGATGAAAGGACATGGTGAATGTGTGTATACAATTACATAGGTATGGAGACACTTGTTTTTCTTTTGTTTGAGACTGGGTCTCACAATCTCAGCTCACTGCAACCTCTACCTCCCAGGTCTAGGTGATCCTCCCACCCCAGGCTCCCAAGTAGCTGGGACCACAGGTGCACACCACTATGCCTGGCTAATTTTTTGCATTTTTGGTAGAGACAGAGTTTCACCACATTGCTCAGGCTGGTCTCGAACTTCTGAGCTCAAGCAATTTGCCCACCTCTGCCTCCCAAAGTGCTGAGATTACAGGTGTGAGCCATGCCTGGCCCAGTTTCCATTTTCGAAGGTAGATTCAAGTTTAGTGGAATTGAAGCAGAGAACTGCTAGTAAGCTGAGAAGTGCCCCAGAGCCCAAGCCTACAGATGAGATCCAGAAAAAAACAGTAGGTTGGCATTCAGATTGTCGCCCAGGCTGGAGTACAGTAGAGTGATCTCTGCTCACTGCAACCTCCGCCTTCCGGGTTCAAGCGATTCCCCTGCCTCAGCCTCCGAGTAGCTGGGATTATAAGCACATGCCGCCATGCCCGGCTAATTTTTATATTTTTAGTAGAGATGGGGTTTCGCCATATTGGTCAGGCTGGTCTCAAACTCCTGACCTCAGGCGATCCACCCGCCTCAGCCTCCTAAAGTGCTGGGATTACAGGTGTGAGCCACCACGCCAGCTTCAGGTTATTTCATCTTGGCCATTGGTTGGGTTCTGAATGTTGTCAGCTGCTCCATCTCAAAACACTCTCCTTTCTTGCCTTCCAGTATTTCCTACTCTCCTGGTTTTCCTCAGGCCCTTCTGGCTACTCCTTCTTAGCCCTCCCTTATAGACTCATCCTTCTCAACTTGAATTTTAAATCTTAGGCCCCACAGCTCAGACCTAAGCCTCTTTTCCAAACCACCCCTAATCCCATGGCTTTAAACACCATCGATATGCAGAGGCTCCTAAGTTTATATCCCCAGAACTCTCTCTTCTGAAATCTAAAACCTATCTATCCAATTGCCTTTTTTTTTTTTTTTTTTTTTTTCCCCTGTCATCCAGGCGGGAGTACAGTGGTGCAATCATAGCTCACTGCAGCCTCAAACTCCTGGGCTCCAGTGATCCTCCCACCTCAGCCTCCAGAGTAACTAGGACTACAAGTGTGTGCCACCCACACCCCACTAATGTTTTAATTTTTTGTAGAGATGGGGTCTTACTATGTTGCCCAGGTTGCTCTTTAACTCCTGGGCTCAAGTGATCCTCCTCTAGTCTCAGCTTCCCAAAGTGCTGAGATTACAAGAATGAGCCACCGTGCCTAGTCCAATTGCCTATTTGATATATTAATGTGGATCTGTAATGGTTAAACTTAACATGTTCAAAATGGAGCTTAGATTCATGCCTTTCCAGTCTTTCCCATCTCAGTAAATGATACCAACATTCATCTAGTTGCTCAGGTCAAAATTTAGAAGTCTTCATTTCTTCCTCTCCTTCATTCTCCCTCCACCCCCATTTAATCAATCACCAATTCCACCACCAAAGGTACACCACCTCTCTCTGTCTCTGATGCTGTTTCCTAGCCCAAGCCACTATCACTACTCACCTAAATTACTCCTTCCTATTTGTGCGTCTGAAGTAGCTCCTTGATGCAGTTGGTAGGTTTCTTCCCTTCATAGCCCTTACCACAAACTGTGAGTTCCTATGTGTGTACTGAATTTGTTATTGTCTGGTTCTCCAAACAGAATGTAAAATCTGTGAGGGCAGGGTCCTCTCTCATTCATTCCACAAATATTCATCATAGGTCTACTAAGCACTGTTTACTGTTGTAGGTGTTGGGGGTGGGTGGGGAGAGGTGTGGTATGGTGAGAAAGTGTACAGCAGTTATGTGGCAAGAACCACTCTTCAAATTTGAGGGACACAGAAATGGGGCCAACCTTCCCTATGAGACTGGACTGTGGAAAGTAGGAGAAATCGTGGCTACTGACTTGCTGGCGGTCGCCATGGGATGAGATGTAAGGCAAAGAGGAAAATGTCATGAGACTAAGGACATCAGCCAGAATGACAGCCCCCAAATCTCCTGTCAACCTATAAGGAAGAAGCTGAGGCAAAATGACTACAAGTAGAGAGTTTATTATAAGCTTCAGGATTGCAACCCAGGAGCATAGATTCAAGCTGCCCTAAATAGACACTCTGATTAGTAGCAGTTACAAGTGGATTTTTATAGGAAAAGAAGAGGCAGTTCCTGAGTTATTTACCAAGAATTTACATTAAAATAACATAAGCTATTGACTGACTATATATTGTTCAACTATAGGGTATGTGTTAGAGTGTCCAGTACAACATTATTAGGTTAATTTATAGCTACTTGTGTGGCAACAGCAAGCAGTGTCAAGAGATGATTACTTAGCTCAAAGGAGGGAGGTGTAGGATGTGATCCTGTCATTTTATTCCTTTTTTTTTTTTTTTTTTGAGACCGAGTCTCACTCTGTTACCCTGGCTGGAGGGCAGTGGCACAATCTTGACTCACTGCAACCTCTGCCTCCCAGGTTCAAGTGATTTTCCTGCCTCAGCCTCCCAAATCGTTGGGATTACAGGCACGCACCACCACGCCCAGCTATTGTTTGTAGTTTTAGTAGAGACGAGGTTTCAACATGATGGCCAGGCTATTCTCCTGACTTTCTGCCTGCCTTGGCCTCCCAAAGTGCTGGGATTACAGGCGTGAGCCACTGAGCCTGGCTGATTCTGTCACTGTAATGCCTCGCTGGGCCTATTTATTTTTAATTTTTAAAGGTTTATTTATAGGGCGGGCGTGGTGGCTCAAGCCTGTAATCCCAGCACTTTGGGAGGCCAAGACGGGTGGATCACGAGGTCAGGAGATCGAGACCATCCTGGCTAACGTGGTGAAACCCCATCTCTACTAAAAAAAAAAAAATACAAAAAACGAGCCGGCCGAGGTGGCGGGCACGTGTAGTCCCAGCTACTGGAGAGGCTGAGGCAGGAGAATGGTGTAAACTCGGGAAGCGGAGCTTGCAGTGAGCTGAGATCCAGCCACTACACTCCAGCCTGGGCGAAAGAGCAAGACTCCGTCTCAAAAAAAAAAAAATTTATTTATTTTTTAATTTTTAAATTTTTTTTTTTTTTTTAAGAGGCAGGGTCTTGTTCTGTGGCTCAGGCTGGAGTGCAATGGTGAGATCCTAGCACTACAAGTACACATCACTATGCCTGGCTTTTTTTTTTCTTTTTGAGATGGAGTTTAGCTTTTGTTGCCCAGGTTGGAGTGCAATGGCACTATCTCGGCTCACAGCAACCCTGGTTCAAGTGATTCTCCTGCCAGGCATCTGCCACCATGCCCAGCTAATTTTGTATTTTTAGTAGAAACGGGGTTTCTTCATGTTGGTCAGGCTGGTCTTGAACACCCGACCTCAGGTGATCCATCTGCCTCAGCCTCCCAAAGTGCTGGGATTACAGGCGTGAGCCACCACGCCCGCTGTATTTTTATATTTTTCTAGAGACTGTGTCTGGCAATATTGCCCAGGCTGGTTGCAAACACCAACATTGCACCCAGCCATCTGGGCCTGATAATTTAAGAGGACTCACATTTCTCAGATAAAGCTTCTTTTCGGCCAGGTGAGGTGGCACATGTCTGTAATCCCAGCAGTTTGGGAGGCTGAGACTGGAGGATCACCTGAGCCCAGGAGTTCGAGACCAGCTCAGGCAAGATGTTGAGAGCCCTGTCTCTACCAAAAATGAACAAATTAAATGAGTGTGGTGTCGGGCACTCACCTATAGTCCCAGCTACTCGGGATGGCTGAGGCAGGAAGATCCCTTGAGAACCCAGGAATTCAATACTTAAGCTATGATTGCACCAGCCTGGGTGGCAAAAGTGAGACCTCTTATCTTACAAAAAAAAAAGTTGTGTTCTCAACCCCAACGGACCACAATATCCAGTGAAGCTGCTATGGCCCCTAACTCTCAGCACAGGAGGTTCCTTAAGAAAATGCTTGGCCGGGCGCGGTGGCTCACGCCTGTAATCCTGGGCGACAGTGAAACTCCGTCTCAAAAAACAAACAAAAAACGCTTGCTCCTAACCCCCATCTCAACAATCCAGGATTGAAAAGAAGAGGGACCATGAAAGTCCCTGAAACTACAAGTTGGGCTACGGCTAGAGGAGGTAAATATCAGACTGAAGTGTAAGATGGACATTACTAAGTCTTAATCATCATTTCATGTTTATACCTCACAGGCTGAGACAGATTTCTCAAGCAACATAAACGTAAAGTGCATTAGGACAGGACTACAAGAGAGCTCTGAGAACATACAGCGAGGAGACCCAAACCCATCTAGGGCTCAGGGAAGGCTTCCCAAGGAAGCGATGCCCATGCTGAGGCCCAAGGGATCTCATGCCCCACTGCACACACCGCGCGCTCCCCATTCCCAAACGAGGCAGGCTTTTCATGCCTCCCTACCTTTGGACTCTGCTGTTCGTTCCACTTTCTTGGAGTACTGTCTTCCCTCCCCTCCTGCTCAGTAAAGCTAACTTCACATCCTTTATAATCCAGCTGAAAAGTGAAGCCATGCCCACGGCCTCTCCCCAAAGGAGGAGTGAGTATCACCTGTTCTGAGCTCCAAAGTTCTTGGGGACACCTTGTGGGAACTGCGTGTGTGGTGGCTTGTCTCCACCACCGTACTGTGAGCTCATAGTGTTCCTAGAGCCCAGCACCAGGCAAGCTCTATAGATGTCTACTGAATGAAGCAATGAACGAATGATTTCATTTGAAATGGGATTAGGGGAAAATGATTCAAGGCAGAGGGGTGAGCTGAGCTCCTTGGAATGGTGTCTTTACCGAACCAAGCCTGGGTCAGGCAGATGTAATGAGCCCACATATTACAAGAATCTCCATAGAAAGTAGGTCAGTTCTTTCCTATCTCTTTAAGAACGAGAAGCCGCGGTTCCGCGCCTGCGCACTGAGAGAGTAAACACCTCTCCTTTTCACCTTCCCCCCTTCTCCCTATTGCCCCAACCCGCCGCAGCCTCCTCCCATACGCCCCTCCTTCGGGCCGGGTAATGGTCCGTCCCAGGGTGTCAGGCTTGTTCCGGAGGGTGGCAAGCAGAAATGGTACATTCCACTGCCTTCATTACCTTCTGCTTTTCGCGTCTCCTCTGTTCTATTTCCCCCTACCTAGAGGAGCTTAATAGGCTAGCCCCAAAAAAGGCGGGGGAGCCGGGCGGAGGGGACCGGTCTGAGCCGGTCTGCAGCGCAAGCGCAGTGCGGATAAACAGGAAGCGGGCGGTGGAGGCAGCAGCAGAGAGCTCGGGGCTTCGGGGGGAAACAGCAGAAGAACTAAGATTAACTGGAGGGCAGCAGAGGCTGAGAACGAGGACGGGAGCCTTGGCCGTCTTCTTCCAGCGAACGAGAGGTCACAGCCTCGCTCTCCGCTTAGGCTTCTGGCGCCCCAGCTTAAAGCTGAGGCTGCGGCTGACAAAGGGCTCGCGCCGGTGCCGCCGCCCTTTTCATCCGGGCATTCGGGTCCCTGCGGAGAGGGAGGGGGAAGGGCAGAGGGGGAGGGGAAGGAGCCAGAGGGGCGCACACTTGGAGCTGAAGCCCTCTCCAGGGCTCCGGGCCTGTGGCCCAACGGACGGAGGCCGAGGAGGACCCGCAGAGGTGGCGGCGGCCGGGGGCAGGAGGATGGTGCAGAAGGAGAGTCAAGCGACGCTGGAGGAGCGGGAGAGCGAGCTCAGCTCCAACCCTGCCGCCTCTGCGGGGGCATCGCTGGAGCCGCCGGCAGCTCCGGCACCCGGAGAAGACAACCCCGCCGGGGCTGGGGTAGCGGCGGTGGCCGGGGCTGCAGGAGGAGCTCGGCGATTCCTGTGTGGCGTGGTGGAAGGTGAGCGCCCTCCTTTCCGCCCCGCCTTGGCACTGACACGTTCTGTCCTCGGGAGGAGGGTGGTGGCGGGGCTTTTGGAGGCTGTAGAAGTCTGGAAAGCCTTTGGGTCTGAAATGTGGCCCTGCTAAAGCGTGGGGGAGAGACGAGATGTTGGGCCGAATCTTCTCGCACGTCCTTAGACGGCGTCGAATTCCCCCCGGCCACTCACAAGCCTGACCCCACCCGTCTTGGGCTTGGAGCCAAGTCAGCTCCTAAGGAGACGGTGGTTAGGAGCCTGGTGCTCTGTTAGCCTCTGAGTTCTACTTTCTACCTTGGGATCTTATTCCCTAGGGTTGTCTGCGTTCCATTGAAAAAATGTGTATAGTTCCTCTGTCACCACCTTTTGTGGAAAATCGACCCACATTGACGTGCTTGTACTTCTGGAGTGAAGAGAAGCACGGTTGGCCTATAGTATTTCAAGTTCCACTTTGCTTAGAATATTTTTGTTGCTTCTCCCTACCCCCGCAAAGATTCATTTGCAACTTAGAAAATTACCCTCTTTCCCAGCTACTGTACTTTGCTGTCGAGGGATGAAGCTTTGGCTTTAATCACCGATTCTCAAAGTGTCTGAGATGCATAATTTGAATTTAGTGACCGCAGAAATGGCGTTAAAAATGCCCTTCTCCCCTTTTTTCCCGTTTACAGTCGAAAAGAATGATGGACTTTTTTGGTAGTGAGAGAAAATTACCAGATGCTTGTTTTCACAGTTTCTGGATAAGAATGGACAGATAGTCCACCTTGCAGCTCTATAGAGGCACGAATCGGTTACATTATTGCTCTTTCCACAATTACAGCGTATATTTGAATTTTCTGAAGTATTTTGGCCGACTCAGAGTTTCCTAGATGTTTGTTTTATATCTCTCTTGTATGTAATGGCGTGGATAAGGGTAAAAAAAAATATTTTAAAAACCAAAAAGGTATGGAAAAAGGATTGCTCTCGAGGTTGGGAACATCAGCTTTTCTATTTTTTTCACCTTATAAATTAGAGTATTTTGTGAAAAATGGGTGGTGGTGATGGTACAGACCATAACAGGCTACTTTGCTGCTACAGTAAGGCGTGAAAGAGTTCAGCGAAGTTAACTGTCCTGCGGAATTTGGGGGACTACAGAATCGAAAACTGCTGTATAGCAGTTTTCTACTATGTAGTGTTCATCAAAATGGACTACTATATAGTGTTCATCAAAAATGATTGCGTTGTGTGACTTATATCGATGTATTTATTGGCTTGAGTGCAGGGAGATTTTAGAGAAAGAATCTGGTTTTTGTTATCAAAGATCTTGGGGTGGGGATGAGAGAGTGCTGGGAAATTTCGGAACTAGACTGGAATGAGTGTAAGGAAACTTGCCAACCCATTATACCTTCAGTAGTAAAAGGAGAAAACTCATTTGGTTTAAATTGGTTTGTTTAGAATAGTATTAAAAGGCGATTCTTCCTATTTAAAGAACAGAGTTGTCTGCCATTCTGTCGTTTATTCCTCCTCCCTCCCTTGCCCTTGTATATTTTCTTAGTGGCTGAGCACCTGAACCATCACTGATTTTTTGTGTGTGTGTTTTGTTGTTGTTTTTGTTTTTTGGGGGGGAGGAGACAGAGTCTCGCTCTGTCGCCCAGGCTGGAGTGCAGTGGCACAATCTTGGCTCACTGCAACCTCCGCCTTCCGGGTTCAAGCAGTTCTCCTTCAGCTTCCCAAGTAGCTGGGACTACAGACGCAGGCCCGGCTAATTTTTTTGTATTTTAGTCGAAACAGGGGTTTCACCGTGTTGCCCAGGCTGGTCTCCACCTCCGGAGCTCAGGCAGTCCGCCCGCCTCGGTCTCCCAAAGTGCTAAGATTACAGGTGTGAACTACCTCTACCTTGCCTGGCTTGGCTTTTTTTTTTTTTTTTTACTTTTTGATACCTCTTGGTTGGCACCAGCCCTAAAATGAATGAGCATAGAAATACTATAGTTACTGCTAGGGTTTCTTTCTTGTTTTCTTTCCATCACAAAACTTTCTTGGTTTTTAACTCATACTTTAACAGCATTGCTTCCTCTTTGTGGTGCCAGTCAACCGAAACCATGAACCTGACTCTCAAAATAGCCAGGGTAGGGTTTCTAAAAATTAAAACGTTTAAGCTAGACATTTGAAAAGTCTTTTTTTATATTGGAACAACTCTGAAAGGATGTTTAATGCCTACTCCTTAAAAAAAAATGATAATGCTAAGTGCCGTAGGGATGCTAAAGACTTGTATAGATCTGCCTAATCAAGAATATTTTATATTGGCCGGGTGCGGTAGCTCGTGCCTGTAATCCCAGCACTTCGGGAGGCCGAGGCGGGCGGATCACGAGGTCAGGAGATCCAGACTAGCCTGGCCAACATGGCGAAACCCCGTCTCTACTAAAAATAGAAAAAATTAGCTGGGCATGGTTGCGGGCGCCTTTAATCCCAGCTACTCGGGAGGCAGAGACAGGAGAATCACTTGAACCCGGGAATTGAAGGCGTAGGTTGTATTGAACAGATATCGTGCCACTGCACTCCAGCCTGGGCGACAGAGCGAGATTCCGCCTCAAAAAAAAAAAAAAATTTTTATATCACTTGTGAGAGGGTAACATTAGATTGTCCAGATGAAAGTGCTACAGTTTTATACATTGGTATGTAATGAATTTTAATTTAATCTGTCATTGTCCTTTTTGTGGTGCAGAGGAGTCATTCTGCATAGAGGTTGGAGCTAAATATTCCAGAAATTTCTGTTCTAGACTAGTCTGTCATATAGACTGTGTGGGTTTATGTAGAACATTTTGTGTTCAGAATGCTTTTATTAACCTTCTTCATGGTACTCTTGAGAGGCTGTCCTTATCTCTTACTGATGATTAGACTGAGACAGGTGGAAAGTAAAGGTTAGACAAGATGTAAAGTGTGTTGTTTGAGCTGTGATAAGCACACTAGGGAGTTCTAGATACCAGTTTGATGCTTATTCAACAATTTAGGTCATCGGTCTGCAAGTTTGTTTTCAGCAGTTTGCATAACTAATATTTTGTTCTCTTATAGGATACTCTGGGGCAAGTCACATTCTTGAGTTTTCTGTGTTTATTCTTTCCATTTAGGACCAGAAGTAACATTCTTGAATTTTTATTTATTCAGACCTTTGCTCAGTAATTAAGATTGCTTGAGAGTTTGTTGTTTGGGCCAGTTAGGCTGTTGAATTTCTTGGGAATGTGGTTTCGGGCATTTTTTGATCCCTTTGATTATATCATTGTATTGGGAACTTTTTTTGAGAGATTGTTTTGCTCTGTCACCCAAGCTGGAATGCAGTGGTGACAATCTTGGCTCACCACAACGTCCACCTCCTGGGTTAAAGTGATTCTCCTGCCCTGGCCTCCCAAGTAGTTGGAACTCCAGTCCTGGCCAGGAACTTTTTTTAAAAAAAAAAAAAAAAAAAAAAAAAAAAAAA